CACAGTGACACCCACTTTTATAGAATTATTCCCTGAGCCTCATGCTCTCACCACTCAAAACTATCCCCTATCATTTAGCAAGAAGTAGTTTAGCCTAAGTCATACTATGGTTGATCCTGCATCCTAAAGACTGGGCCCCAGGCAAACATCAGTTTTACCAGAGAACTGGATAGAAATGTGAATTCTCAGGCTGCAGTTCAGCCTTATTATAAGAGACTCAGAGTGGCTCAAAAATCTTAATTTTTATTATCCATTCAGTTGCATGATTGGGGCTTAGAATCTGTGCCCTGATTTAGTCTCTCCTCTAAGAACTATTTTTTTCTCACCACTTTACAAAAAAAAAAAAAAAAAAAAAAAAAAAGTAGTATGACCTCACTAACTTACAGCTTAATGACTTGCATCCAAAATTGTCTAGTTTCAGCCCTGGTGGACAGACCCTGAGATTCAAGGGGCTGGGTGCATGGATCTCTACTGCTGAGATGTTCAGGGAATCCTGTTGCAATGACCCCATTAAGACCTTAAAACACAACACCCACAGCTAAGAGTTAAATCACTGTAAACATTTTAACTGTTACTTCTCTTCCAGAGATTAAAGCAATACCCAATCTCTTGTTTAAAAACTCTAAAGGGGTCTGGATTTGTGACTCAGTGGAAGAGTGTTCTCATAGCGTGCATGAGGCACTGGGTTTGGTCCTCAGCACCATATAAAAATAAAATTTATAAAAAATTGCATCCACCTCAAACTAAAAACAAATTATTTTAAAAAATAAAAAAAAAGAATCTATAAAGGCCATGTTACTGCACTATAACCATGGTTGGATGGACCATGGTTTTCTTAAATAAAGATTCTGGGTCATGATGTACAGATTCCCACAGTTGCCCGATAAGACCACTAGATGGTGAGTGTGGTTTTTTTTTTGTTGTTGTTGTTTATTTGTTTTGTTTTCTTTTGTTTTTGCAAGAGGAGGGCGCTCTGCAGGTGGCTGGGGGCTTCTGTTGGTTGCTTCCATCAGAGTCCCTTAAGTATCCTGTGCTGAGGCAGGTTTTACTGCAGATTCTAGGAAGTGATATGAAGCTAGGGTCTTTGACTACAATACTACTATAGTACTGTAGCAGGAAATTTATTTAGAATGGCACAGGGCCTCCTCCCATACAGGACAGGCAGACTATTTCCCCACAGACTGAAGTCCTGGTGGTGGCAGATATACGGTCATAGGCGCTAATAGTACCAATCTGGAGGAGAAAAGTAGAGATAATATTTTCTTCTCCTGAAAAGTGTACTCTGGTTTTATGAACACCCAGAATATATGGCCTGCCTTTTTTGATGCTTTAACATGTTTATAAGGAAGGTAACTGAGAAGGTGGGAAGGTATCTTGAATTTGAATCTTGGGGTACAAGCCTAGCTCTACTCCAGACTATTGTGGACTTTATCTGCTAATGTACCTCTTCTGCAACCCACGTTTACAACAATGGTGGAAGAGACTGTATGCAACAGAAACAGTGCCTGCACAATTCCCATATTCCAGTGCCCCTCCTTTCCACTCACCTCTGATAGCCCTTTGTGCTCCCCAGCTCTAAGAGGGCGAAGGCCTTACAGAAAGCAGGGGCTTCGGTGCCTCCCCATGACAAAGACCATGTGGTACAGGTTACAGATGTAGTTGCTCTGGCCCATTTGAGATTTATAGATTTTCCATTGCCCTAAGAGTGCCTTGGGTTTTAAACATATATAGAAGATGCACATAAACACATGCACTGTCACAGAGAAGAGTTTTCTATAAGCAGTACTGAAGAGCCATTTGGGAAGCTCCAGGGTTGGTCAGGAGATGAGGGTGTGGGAGATGATGGAGAAAATGGGAAAGAGATTTTCTTGTATTTGTGCAGGAAGAAAAAATGAGACAGCATAAGTGGATTTAGGGTTAGTATGTTATTATAATTTCAGTGAGCTGTAGGGGGCATGAGCCATCTCTGGCATTATGGTACCTGGACATGCCATGATTATTAGATCAGACAAAGACTGACATTGGATGCTGGGAGCATAATAGGAAGGATATTGGTAGTATGGAAATTATATTAGTTAATTTTCACATGGACAACTTGGGAAGATGGCTAATTATCTCTAAGAATTAACTGTACAGAAGGTCATGACTGGGTGAAGTAGAGCATGCCTGGGTGAGGTGGTCCATGCCTATAAATCAAGGGATTCAGGAGACTGAAGCTGGTGGATTTTAAGTTCAAGGTCAGCTCGAACAATTTAGCGAGACCCTGGCTTACAGTAAAATTTGCAAAAACACATCTAGGTATCTTCTTCCGGTATAGTAGAACAGCTGTAGAATGCTCTTGAGTTAAAACTTCAGTACCTTCCTCTGCCCCCAACATACACACACCCACCCACAGTCTAAGAATTTATCCCCTTCATGGTAAGCAAAGCCCCATTGTCAAAGAAAGAGAGTCCAGGCTGTAAAAGGCTGTGGTAACACAAGTACTTTCTATTCCCAGAAAAAAAAAAAAAGGAAATGACTCTGTAGGTCCTTCTAGAGGCTTCCTCTCTACTCCCTCATGCAAGGACCTGTGTTTGTGATCATTTTTTTTTTTTTTGTGCTTCATTGACTCTATAGAGCCTTGTGGGTGATTGCAGAGCAGCAGGACTTTTTGTTTTAATTGAGTATCTTCCAGTGAGGCATAAAGCTTAGCCAGCAGAGCAGAGAATTCTGATGCCTGTCAACAGTCTCTCCTCTGTCTTTGATCCTCAATTTATCACCAGGTGATACTTGCCTGGGGCAAGCTCAGGATGTTTTGGACAAGGCAAACTACTCAGGTAGTGAGATGAGGGCAGGGACCTGGCTTTGAATCTCAATGGACCTTTTTTTCCCTCTGGTTTGGAACCTTGGAAGGGGAAAGTGAAACACTGCACAGAAAATTCTGGAATGTGCAGGAGCAGAAGTCAAATGTTTTTCTTGTAGATGGTAAGATAATGTCCCAGGCCACCAGCTCCAGCATGGGGTTGCAGATTCTGATCGCCTGAATATTGATATGTGTGTGTGTTTGTGTGTGTGTGCACGTGAATGCAGGTGAAGTCCTCAATGACTCACTATTCATTCCTGGAATAGAAGAGCTGGAAAGACTACTTCCTCAATGGGGTTTCTGCTAAGGAAGAATCTTGTCTGTTGTTCAAGTACATGCATCTGGCTCAATATTGACAACCGACCTGAGACTTGTAAGGTTTGGGAAGGATGGTAGAACTCTTTGACAGAGAGTTAGGAGCACCACAATCAAGCCCAAATTAATAATTCTCCTGCCTGCAGGCTTTAGGTTTCTTCTGATAATATGCTGTGCTTCTCCTTTTGCTCCTTCTTTTGTTTCTTTCCTCCTTCCTCACTACTTGAAGACAATCAATGTGCTTAAAGCACTGGGGAGAAAATAATAAATTAGAAAAACCCCAGTGTTTTTTTTTGTTTTTTTTTTTTTTTCCCAGCATGTATGATCTACCCCAGAGTTCCTGAGCCTAAGCATGGTTAAACTTAGAGACCAAAGACTTATTTTTGGCAAGGGGATTGCCAACCATGATGATGTTTAGTAATCCTATTCCCTACCTTGAAAATAAAAAAAAAATGCCTCTAAAAGGCTCAATGTCCACTGGGTGTAACCACTGCCATGGCTGAGAACTTCTGAGCAGTGAGGTATAAAGCTAAGTTCACACCTGCAGTGGAGTTTGAAAGGATGTCTCTGTGTCTTCTTGGGGTCTGTTTTACTTAGAGTTATGATCTTCCTAACTTCCTAAGCTTTGCCACATTATTGATATTTGTATGGTTTCTCCCCAGTATGAATTATCTGGTGTTGGTCTTTTATTAAAAGCTTTGTCACCTTCTTTACTTTTGTATGGGTTTTCTCCAGTGTGAATTCTCTGGTGTTGATTAAGTCATGATTTTTGAGTCTGAATTGTGATCAAGAAGTAACTATAGCTATTACCATTTTTTTAAAAGAAAAGCTTTCTAAATGCTGCAATTGTTCAGACTTATGCACATCGAAAACCTGAGTCTGATGACCACAAAACCCGAGTCTCTCTTGTCTTTTTTTTTTTTTTTTTTTTGTACTTGGGATCAAACCAAAGTGCTCTCTACCACTGAGCCCATCCCCAAATCTTTTTTATTTAGAGTTTAATGCCTATAAGTGTTACTGGCAAGATGACTCATCAGTCCAAATGCTTTTCATTGACACCATTTTTAACAATTATTTTTTTTTCAAATGTAACACAATTATTGATTTAAAAAGTGTGCAGGGCTGTAGTTTTCTTTTAAGAGAAAAAAGGGCAACTATGTTTCATCAGGAACTGGCTCAGTGTTCTCAAAAACATATATTAGATATATGCAAGCAGAGCCACACATTGGTACAAACACACACAGTGCTACCCCTGGTCTGCTAGTAAATGCTATAGTAGGTTCAGGGGTGGGAAAAGGTAGTATGCTTCTTTCTCACTTGTTCAAACCCTCTGGAGGATCAGGGGCTCAAAGTCATTGATGGAGGCTCAGGGCTCTCATGGTCATACACAGGCCTCCTGCTGTCTATTCAGTGTGAGCATTCACACCCACTACATGTGTGGCTTTAACCACAACATATATTGCATTTTGCTGTTCAAAATCTTTGTTTCTCAGCCACCTGGTTTCAAACGTGTAAACTCTACATTTGATGTAGAAAGATAAGATGTATCATTTTAAAACCTAGAATCTGATGCCTGAAGTGTGACAAGAAATATTTTTAATGCTTTTTATGCCCATAAAATCCTGAGTAAAATTTAACTAACTACAGAGCAAAAGACATTGATATGCATGCTTTTCATCCAAGCAGCACAGGAGGCTGAGGCAGTAGAACCACTAGTTCAATCCCAGCCTGAGTACTAAAAGTGAGGCCCTAAGCAACTCAGTGAAATTGTGCCTATAAATAAATACAAAACAGGGCTGGGATGTGGATTAGTGGTTGAGTGCCCCTGAATTCAATCCCCAAAATAAAATAAATAAGTAAAACATTGACAAAGGAACATGCTGTCCATCTGAGTTTATGGGAAAAACATTGATGTGATCATAGACTTCAGGCATAAGATAGTTTTATTAATGTGTCAGTTTGATACAAACGAGGCCTTTAAGTCCAGAGATAGCTTTGGGAAAAAAAAAAGATCATTTGAATTTAATCAATTAAAACAGAGAAACTGATGAAAGGACAAGTGAACATGGAGAGGTCCACAGAAGGAAAGAGGGCCAAGGATCCAACCATGCTTCCTGCCCACTTCTATGGGCTCCTGTGTAATGGCTAGTTGGGCAAGGGTTGGGGTTTCATAGAGTGAGCACTGCAGAGCTATCTCTGGGTAATTGTAACTTTTCTTTCCAGTATGATGTTTCTGGCGACCAATGAGGTGTGATCTTACAACAAATGACTTTTACATCCTATTCTTTACAATAGTATGGCTCTTCCCAAGTATTAATTCTCTGGTGTCAAATAATGTATGATCTTTGGTTAAAAGCTTTGCCACATTCTTTTCATTTATATGGTTTTTCTCCTATATGAAGTCTCTGGTGTTGACTAAGGAGTGACTTTCAATGAGAACCTTTGCAACATTATTAATATTGGTATGGTATCTCCCCAGTATGAATTCTCTGGTGTTGAGTAAGGTATAATCTCTACTTAAAAGCTTTGCCACATTCTTTACATTTTTATGTCTCTTGTCCAGTATGAATTCTCTGATGTACAGTAAGATGTGATTTTTGAGTAAAAGCTTTGCCACATTCTTAACATTTGTATGGCTTTTCTCCAGTATGAATTCTCTGGTGTTGATTAAGGCTTTCTCTATAATTAAAAGCTTTGCCACATTCTTTACATTTGTATGGCTTTTCTCCAGTATGAATTTTCTGCTGTTTAGTAAGGCATGAATTTTCCTTGAAAGCTTTGCCACATTCTTTACATTTGTATGGCTTTTCTACAGTACAAAGTCTCTGGTGTCGAGTAAGAAGTGATTTTTTTATTAAAAGCTTTGCCACATTCTTAACATCTGTATGACTTTTCTCCAGTATGGATTCTCTGGTGTTGAGTAAGGCATGATTTTTGATTAAAAGCCTTGCCACATTCTTTACATTTGTATGGCATTTCTCCAGTATGAATTCTCTGGTGTTGAGTAAGTTGTGATTTTCGATTAAAAGCTTTGCCACATTCTATACATTTGTATGGCATTTCTCCAGTATGAAGTTTCTGGTGTCGAGTACAATGTGATTTGCAATTGAAAGCTTTGCCACATTCTTTACATTTGTATGGCTTTTCTCCAGTATGAATTCTCTGGTGTTTAGTAAGGTTTGATGTTTGATTAAAAGCTTTGCCACATTCTCTACATTTATATGGCTTTTCTCCAGTATGAATTCTCTGGTGTCGACTAAGGCTTTCTCTATAATTAAAAGCTTTGCCACATTCTTTACATTTGTATGGCTTTTCTCCAGTATGAATTTTCTGGTGTTTAGTAAGGCATGAATTTTCATTGAAAGCTTTGCCACATTCTTTACATTTGTATGGCTTTTCTACAGTACAACGTCTCTGGTGTTGAGTAAGAAGTGATTTTTTATTAAAAGCTTTGCCACATTCCTTACATCTGTATGAAATTTCTCCAGTATGGATTCTCTGGTGTTGAGTAAGGAATGAATTTTCATTGAAAGCTTTGCCACATTCTTTACATTTGTATGGCTTTTCTACAGTACAAAGTCTCTGGTGTTGAGTAAGAAGTGATTTTTTATTAAAAGCTTTGCCACATTCCTTACATCTGTATGAATTTTCTCCAGTATGGATTCTCTGGTGTTGAGTAAGGCAAGATTTTCGATTAAATGCCTTGCCACATTCTTTACATTTGTATGAAATTTCTCCACTATGAATTCTCTGGTGTTGAGTAAATTGTGATTTTCGATTAAAAGCTTTGCCACATTCTATACATTTGTATGGCATTTCTCCAGTATGAAGTTTCTGGTGTCGAGTACAGGGTGATTTGCAATTGAAAGCTTTGCCACATTCTTTACATTTGTATGGCTTTTCTCCAGTATGGATTCTCTGGTGTTCAGTAAGGTGAAATTTTGAATTAAAAGCTTTGCCACATTCTTTACATTTGTATGGCTTTTCTCCAGTATGAATTCTCTGGTGTTTAGTAAGGTTTGATGTTTGATTGAAAGCTTTGCCACATTCTCTACATTTATAAGGCTTTTCTCCAGTATGAATTCTCTGGTGATGATAAATTTGTGATTTATGATTAAAAGCCTTCCCACATTCTTTACATTTGTATGGTTTTTCTCCAGTATGGATTCTCTGGTGTTCACTAAGGTGATATTTTGAATTAAAAGCCTTGCCACATTCTTTACATTTGTATGGCTTTTCTCCAGTATGAATTCTCTGGTGGTGAGTAAGGCTTTGTCTATAAGTAAAAGCTTTGCCACATTCTCTGCATTTGTAAGGCTTTTCACCAGTATGAATTCTCCGGTGTTGAGTAAGGCATGATTTTCGATTAAAAGCTTTGCCACATTCTTTACATTTGTATGGCATTTCTCCAGTATGAATTCTCTGGTGTTCAGTAAGTTGTGATTTTCGATTAAAAGCTTTGCCACATTCTGTACATTTGTATGGCTTTTCTCCAGTATAAATTTTCTGGTGTTCAGTAAGGTGTGATTTTTTATTAAAAGCTTTGTCACTTTCTTTACATTTCCAGATGTTCTCTCCAGTATGATTACTGTAGGGTTTAAAAAGATTTGAGCAACACTTAATGACATTTTCACATTTTTTCAATTTGTAGGGTATATCTCCATTGTAAAACCTATGGTTTTTAGTAATGGATGGAATTTGAGTAAAATATTTTTCACATTCTTTACTTATGGAAGATTTATTACTGCTCTGATAAACAATTGAGGAAGCTTTAAATGCTTTTACATATTTTTTAAACTTGTAGGGCTTCCCACCAAAATTTATTCTCTGGAGTTCAGGAATTCTTATAGTTGTATGAAAAATGCTTTCAAATACCTTATATCTGTAATTTGTCTCTTGATTATGAAAGCTTGGATAAATAAATTTTGGGCATGGATTAAAAACTTTTTCACTTTTATCACTGTAAATCTCTGTTAAATGATCACATGAGTGTTTTCTAGGATTTAAAAAAAAGAGGGAAATTTTAATGACTTTCACAGAATTTACATTGTTTTACACCAAATCTAATATACTGCTAATTACTTGGGGTTGAGATTGTCTTCAGGTCCTGAACAGAAATATTTGTGGATATTTACAAAATGGTGCATTTCAAATTATTCCACTTACTAACTAAAGTATGAAATTGACTACATAGAAAATTTTGTATGTTTTAGAGGAAGGGTATAATTACAAAATGCTGTGCAAATATATTTAAAAGCACACATGAGTCCTCAAATACGACTGCCATATGTGCTGTTGTCTCTTTCCAGCTTAGCCAATGCCCCATACCCCTACAGTTCCAACTTGCCTCAAACACACTATTGTTTGGTTTTAATTTGTGGGGAATCCTGCAGGCACTGGGACACAAATATGGTGCTTATGTGCCAGAGCATTTTTCATTAAGCCAAAGACCAAACTGCATCTGAGCTGGGCTGCTCAATTTTCCAGCAAAAATATATATCACTGAGGGTGTTGTTAAAATTCTTTCTATGTAACTAGCTCACTGAAATCCGTTAGAAAATACTTTGGATTTGTTGAAAACATATTCCTTGAGATGCACAGATGAGTAGTGCTATGGCCTCAGATTTTGTTCACTGGGGACATGTATTGAATCCAGGAAGTCTCTGGATTTCCCACTTGGAAAGTTTTTCTCATTCCACCCACAACCACAGAATGCATAGATATTTTGAGTATTCACTTGGAGTTAGGTCAAAATCCCTGTTGATATGAAAGATGAAGCAGTGCATGTCAGATGGATCTGCTGAAAGATATCTATGAACTGTGCATGAATTTTTTTTTTTAAAGCATGGAATCCATTAGGAGAAAAAGTCTGGTATCTGGGAACTCACAGTTGAAATCCAGCTAGTTTGAGACTATCCATTACATGTTATATACTACCTAGTTTTGCCTAAATTCAGCATGACACTGGAGATAGTATCATCCATTGGAGCCACATAGCCGCAGCACCCCAGAGATGGGTGTGATTTGCCAGAATGCAAATCTACATGTCTAAAGAAAGAATCTTACTGTTGAAATTTTATTCCTACCATTGATGTACACTCCCTTAAATAAAGAATGGAACAATTATCTAGTCATCTTTTTTTAGATCCTATGTGGTCTAGAGAATATATAAGATGCTTTACGTATTTTACCATAAGTTATGGGGCCCTGTATCATATTCCTTTATTATTCATTTCAGATATTCATTTTTTTTCAGGTGACTCATCACTTTCCAAGAAGGAAATGACTCAGGTGGAATGCTTGAGGTCCCATGACATGGAGTGATTATGCTAACTTGTGAGTCATAAATAGATACGTAACTACACAAAGACTGCTTCAAGTTGAATTATAATCATAAATATTTACAAGCACCCTTGACTCAAACCATCAAGTTTCAAGGAGAAGGGTCTACAAAAAAATGGTATTCTGAAACAGTAGACAGAATCATGGATCGACAAAGACATTATAGATGTTTGTTCCCTAAGGAGGAGAAATTTCATGGTAAGACATGCCCCATTCAAAGGTGGTCTTACCTCACCAATGTGGCTGTTTTAATTTTCTTAAAGGTTTTACAATCACAAGCTTTAGTCCTTCATTGATCTTCATTAGCCCCACATCTTCCCTACTGCTTATGCACCAGGCATATTTTCTACCCCTCAGCATGAGCCCAGAAGAGTGTCAGAAGACTTACATTGTTCTCATAAGACCCTCATGTCTGCTTTTGAGGTGTGATGCATTCCTGCAAGCCATTTGGGCTTTGGGTTTTCTGGGAGACTGTGCTAGAAGTTCCTGAGTCTTTCCTTTGTTTCAATTGCTGTACATGATAGATGAGCTGTATGCTTACTTGATGTGTTTTAGAAGGACCTCACTGCTTCTCTTCACTTTTATTAATTATTAATGCATTTAAAAAGCAATGCTTACCAAACTTTTACCTTAAACATATTTAATTACTCAATAGTTCTTTTCAACAGAAAGTCCTAGTGAGGCTTATTGCAGCATTTCCATTTCTCCTTAATCTGAATATTTTTCTTGTCTCTAAGTAAAAATACTATACATGTGTTTAAATGATGAGACAATTTGTCTATTTTGTGTAGAAACTCACCTTGTTAGAACATTGCAATTTTGTATTAGTGATCTATAGACTTTTATCTAATGTGCAATCACATAGAGATCATTAAAAGTTAAAACATAACGAATTAATAAGCATTTTATTACTATTTAGATTTTTTTCACTAAAATGCCCATTTCTATTCTAGTTTTATTTCTAAAGCTTACTAAACTGGTTGAGTCTTTATTTTCCTGAAGGTATTATAAAGACTCAGCTTTATAATGGCCTGTAAACATTGAATATATATGTAGTTTGATACATGTTTTTGCATTTGAAAATACTGTGCATTGTAGTGGTTTTATAAAAAATACTGAGTAGTATATATTTTAAAATTACAATAATGTACTTAAAATTTTTAACCGAACAAAAAGTGGCTGTCACAAGTTGAGCAGTCAGTCTTCTGAGATGTTTGTAATAATGTAACCTGATAAATTTGTAATTTTCTGTATAAATAATTTTCATTATTTTTTCTCTTTATTAAAAATAACAGAAACCCTCTCTGATTTTTAAAAAAAGTATGAGCTGAAGTACTGAAAACATGAGAAACCACAATTGAAACACCACGAAGAGGAAAACATGAGAATGACAACCTCAAACCATAATCTTAAAAATGCGCCAAGCACATACATGGGTTATGGCTGCTCAACTTTCCCTCTCCCTTCTTCAGGTAATCATACCTTTTTATTTCTGTGAGGAACGACCCTCCCCTAACCTCAGGAAACACTATGAGGGACACTCCTGCACCTGAAGCAGCTATTTACAGTTTTTACCATCAGCATATTCCTTACCTATGCCCACAGTGATTAGTGCAGAGGGGAGCATATGACCCACTCTGACTCTGATTATCAAGCCCAGAAGTTCTTGGTTGAGCTAAACAGGAACCCAGAAGGACACAAACCTGAAGTCACGATGGACCATCATAAAAGGGAACATCTGTGAGTGAAGCCATCAAAAGAGTAAGTGAAGAGTAAGACTGAGTACAGATGAATTTGAACTCCAGAATCCAGCCATGCCTCAAATCAAAATTTTGCATAGCTTTTAAAAAGTGTAATATAATCTATTTTAAATCTTTCTTTTAAATTAATATCAGCTTAGAGGTAGGTCCTTTATAACCAAAATGACCCTGAGTAGTATACTTCAAAAGAATGAATGTGAACCATAGTGGGACTTCGAATGTAAAATCTGAGTCTATTGTTCTGGTAGGCAACACAGAAGAACTCCCATCTGTGCCCCAGATGAGCTGAGACCCTTTACTCATTGAGTCTATGTGCCAAACACAGAGGCAGTCAGAGGCACAAGGACACTAAAAAAGATCACAATGGTGATGCTGGGAACGTCTCCAGGCACAATTGAACTGAAGTATGAGATGACACAGGTAAACTCTAGTTTATCTGCTACCAACACCAAATGAAGACAGGAGAAGACATAAAATGGAGACCAGCTGGTGAACATAGTTTGGATTTGCAAAGCATCAGCACAGTCTGCAGTGAGGGAGCAGGATGCATTGTAGAGCTTCCATGTATGCAGACCAAGCACAGATTTCCAGGAAGCTCCGTTAGTCAGATTTCCCTGGGTTGCTACCACCATCCCATCAAATTTCCTCTAAACCCTGTCTGATATGATTGACAGGTATTCAGAATTTTAGAGTGGCAGAGAGATGGACCTGTTTTCTTTTTATCAATCAAATGTGGTTTTATAACAATGTGTTTGTGTGTGTTTGTGTGTGTTTGTTTGTGTGTGTGTGTGTGTGTGTGTGTGTGTGTGTAAGGATCCCTGGTACAGGACCTTGCACATGTTAAGTACTCTACCATTGAGTTGTGTCCCCAGTCCTATAACAATATATTAAGAAAGAATTACCTTATAAAATACAAGCAGAATTCTAGTTTTAAATACATATATGCATATGTAAAAGAACAAAGATCTTTTTAGGAAGAATTGGAGGCCAGGCTAAGTGCATCAAAGAACATCCTATGTAAAGAATCTAAAATCAATTCTTAAAAGTTAACAATCCACAAAGGAAAAAAAATGGAAAGGAAAATAAAAGAAAAAAAATAAAAAATTTCTGAACTTTCCTCTCTTTTAATTTCTATTTCTTGTTTAAAATTAAGTATCAACTGTCTTGGTATCCATACCTGCTCTTTATAAAGTTTTGCAAAAAATATTTTATTTCTTGTTCTTCTGAAAATTCTTGGTTTGGATTAGAAGTCATACCTGAAATAAATTAAAATAGCAAGTTATTCCACTTATGACACTATGGTGAATAGACTCTGAAAATATATAAAACCTTATCAAGGTGGGGGAGGGGAATAGCCACAGAACAGAATAATTTAAAGCCATTATTACTCAAGAAATATATGTAGAGAGAATTTACTACAATATGCTGAAAAAAGCTGTGAGAACTTTGAAAATCATCTTAAGAATTTGTAGCACCACAGATGAGGACAACATTCAAACTGACTGATATCACAATCACAGCCCTTCACTTCAATATATTTGAATGCCACCTGTGACTCAAATGTTGCAGGAAATAAATTTCTCACTTAGTTTTTTTTTTTTTTTATCTTTTTGGGGAGTATTTTTTTAGGATTAAACACAGTGATATTCTATCATTAAACTACATCATAGACCTTTCTATGTTTATACATTTTTTGAGACAGTTTATTACAACAATGCTAAAATTTATTTCAACCTGGCATTCCACTGCCTTAGATTCCCAATTATATGGAATTACATTTATATATCATTGCACATGACCTGTTTTTGTTTACATTGTAAATTCTAAATATTTTCCAAAATGACTATGATGATCTAGTTTAAAAAATTTTAAATAGAAAAATCCCAATGAAAATAATAGCTCACACAATAAAGGGTATAATCTACTTAAGCAAACAAAAAGTTGAGAGTTGGAAAATTGATGTTGTTAATTATCTAAGCAATGCCCAATAACCATTTCAAAGATATTTATTAAACTAAATAAAAATGTAGAAAATTGAAAATAAATTCAGAAAAATAGCAACAGAAAAAGTATAAATTATATACTAGAAATATTCTTTAAAAAATGTCTCAGGCTGGGGATACACTGTAGATGACAGATTGCTTGCCTCACATGCAAAAGGCTGGGCTTGATCCCCAGCACCCACCCACACACACACACACACAGTCTCATGAATTAAAAATTTGAGGAAGAAAATATATCAAATGCTAGAATTAATTAAAAGACACAGGTAGTGCTGGGCACAGTCGTGCATGACTTTAACCCCAGCATCTCAGGATGCCGAGACAGGAGGATCAGGAGTTCAAAGACAGACTCAGCAATGGTGAGGCACTAAGCTCCTCAGTGAGAACCTGTCTCTAAGTGAAATATACAATACTGATGATGTTGTAAGTCAATGGTTGAGTGGCTCTGAGTTCAATTCCCAATAAATAAATTAAAAAAGTTAATAAGTTTATAATCAAACTTGTAAAACTCTTCAAGAAAATAATTGATATCAAAAGATATAAAAAGAGAAATTTTATTTACAAACATATTCTTTTATGATTAACAGTTGATTTCTTTGCAGAAAACTTCCAAAGAGGAATTGGGATATATAGGTATGTATGTTGAAAGAAAAAGAAAATATGAACCTAGAATACTTTATCTACCAATACCATTTTTTTGAACTTTATGAAAAATACATCTTTAAAGACATGAAAATATTCAAAAATTGCTTTACTTCTTGACCTGCTGCAAGAGAAATAATCAGTGGAATATTTCCAATAAAATATTCTGCACAACAGAAATCATATAAAATTTGAAATATCTTGTGGAAAAGAAAAATATATACAAATATATATTTTATTATACTTTCATTGTTGTATGTAAAACATTTCATTCTACAATAGAATGTGGAAAACTAAAGCATAAAAATTATCATAAATTTTGCTAATTAGTATAAATTAGAAAAGCAGGAGTGACATCAATAACAAATCATGGCAACACATGTAAAGACACTGATTGTTTTAGGAAACCAAAATTAACTCAGATTAAAATGTAGTGCAAACTAAGTACTTTATTTTTTTCATTAATTTTCCTTTAGTTATACATGACAGTAGAATGTATCTTCATATATCATACATTCATAAATTATAACAATCTATTCTTTTGTTGGTAAATTATGTGGAGTTACACTGGTTGTATATTCATTTAAGAATATATGAATGTTATTTCCAATTTATTCTACTGTTTTTAAGCACTTAAATAATTACAAAGTAATGACAAAATAAACATCAAGGATAAAAACTAGAAAAAAAAATTATCACCATAAAAATGTATGAACTACAAATTAAGGCATATTTTAATAGTACAAACATTATAAGAAATCATCAAAACGTGAAAACTATAGAAGTTTTTCCTCATCAGTAATTTAAGTATCAATAAACAATTTTGAAAAAAAAAACTAATCAAACACAATATGACCAACAAGATTAAACTTAAAAATATGTTAACTATGTCAGATTTAAATCTACAAAAATTCTCTTTAGATATAAGGTCAGAAAAAGATTAAAAACAAAAGGATAAAACAAATATTACATTCAAAATGGTTGATAATATTTATATAAATAAGAGACAAAGTAGAATATTATATAAAAATAAATATGCCAAATCCTTAGATTACAATCATAGGGAATATATTTGTAACTCAAATAATGTTTTTCATATACAGAAAGAAAAGACAAATTCAACATCATAGAAAGCAACAACGTAATAATAGGAGACATCAATCCCCAATTAATGCAAAGAATAAAAAAATAGAATTGCATTATTCCCCAAGGAATGAAAAAAAAAAAAAAAAAAACCTTCAAAAAACATTAAAAACCATTTTGGTTTACAGAGGCAATAGTCTCTGTAGTCTCTGGAATATTATTCCAAAGAAATCAAGTTAAATGCACAAAACAAATATTAACAGATATTACAATATTGAAGTTGCATTCTAACAAAACATAATTTAAGACAGAAATCAAAAGCAAAAGTGATATTTAAAATTTATGAATATGAATTTAAAGCCAAATTCAGCAATTAAGCAAGGCCCTAAGCAACTTATCTAGACATTGTAACAAAATGATATATAAAAATAGCTGCCAGCCAGGCGTGATAACACACACTTTTAATTCAAGAAGCTTGGGAGTCTGAGACAGCAGGATTGTGAGCTCAAATCCAGCCTCATCAAAACAAGATGGTAAGCAACTGAAGGAGACCATGTTTCTAAATAAAATGCAAATTGGGGCTTGGGATGTAGCTCAGTGGGCAAGTTCCCCTAAGGTCAATCCCCAGTACCCTACCCCAAAAAGGGGTGTAAATGTGGCTCAGAGGGAAAATACCTCTGTTACAGAAAAAAAGCCTAAAGCACCCAAAGTAATCTATGAAGCCCATGTAATTCCAATCAAAAAAATCAATATTATTTTTGCATGTACAAAATAAGTTATTTGAACAATTCTATGGAATCAAGCCAATCAAATTACATTTCCATGACTACATGTAGGCGATTTGGAATTAAATATGAAAAGTTTTAAAACTTTACAAAGATAAGAAATTGTATAATATTTGCAATGATCAACTTTTAAGATAGTATATTAAGTGAAATAGTAATACCAATAAAAATAACAAATACCAGGTAATTCTATGTATGAGAGATATCTATTGTAGCCAAATATAGACACCAAAAAGAATGGCATCAGGGATGAAAAGGTGAGACAAAGGATCACTTGTTTGGAGGAAAAATAAACTTACTTTTTATGTGATACATACATTCTAGAAAAAAAAATCTTACAAAACAATTTATATGAATACTACTGAGCAGTAAATTCAAAATATATAAGACAGTAAGTTCAGGAAAGTTATACAGTATACAGTTTTTATCAAAATTAAAAATTTGACAAATACATAAAAGATAAACAGAATTGGAAACATCTTTATGGTACCTTTAAAATACTAAAGTCTTACTCCTAGACAAAAGAACAGATTCATATAGAGAGAGATAATGAATATGCCATTAATTCTAGCAACTTGGAAGAAAGGCTGAGGCATGGAAATAGAATTTCAGCTTCAGAAACTTAGCAAGAGTCTATTGTAAACTAAAAGTCAAAAGGGGATGATGATGTAGCTCAGTATTATAAGAGTTCATTCCACAGTGTGTGTGTGTGTGTGTGTATAAATATATAAACTTAAATACATTATATGATTAAGCACAAGAACTGAGTATAAACAATCAATGTACTATATAAAATCATATATAAAAGGGGTTAATATTTATATATGTAAGATAAATCATAGAAAACTTGATTGAAAATTGGAACATGGTTTACGTGCAGTTTAACTTCAACTAATGTTTTCCTAAAGTGACAAATCATGATAATTTCTATTCAAATATAACATATAGGTATAGAAATAAAAACAATATCATGGATGTGAGAAAACCTAATGAACAACACTGAAGCTCTCTATAGAGTGAAACTGGAAAAAACAAAAAAACAAAAAAAAAAAGAATTAGAAAAATGTAACCCACAAAATTCTGGATAATTATATTACAATAGAAATATTTCTTTTTACATTTTTTGTAGTGATAGGTGGACAGAATACATTTATTATATCTGTTTATTTTTATGTAGTGCTAAGGATTAAACACAGTACCGCACATATGTGAGGAAAGCCCTCTGCCACTAAACTACAGCCTCATCCCTGAAAATTCTTCTTTAAACCACATTGATCAGCTATACTTGCATAACCATTAGGAGCAGGTATTATGAAATACTGCTATTTATTACATGGCAGAAAAAAAATTCACAGAATATCTAGTATAAGCATTCATATAAAGATCTGAATATTTAAATTATATTAAAGAATATTTAAATATTTAAATTATATTAAAGAAACTCTACTATAATTCTAATATATTACAATGGTTTTACCTAGATATATTTGAAAATGACCAAGTTTTCTAGGGATCCCCCAAATTCCAATAAATGTCAGGTCGTAAATATCCTCACAGGCATTGTGAAATACTCTGTAGGGATTCTGATTGTGGAAATATACAGTGAAGCATTCCTCTGGAGAGAAAACTCCCAGGGTAATAGGCACTCTGTTTCCCACCCTTAGAATGCCCTGCAATTTCCCCAGGAACTAGTAAAATAATAAAATACATGTGCAATGTTAAGCTGCTATGGCAATTCCCTGCTTGAAAATGCTCTGCACTAGAGTGTTATCAGCCTCAAATATAATCTCTGGCACACAGCTCCTGGGAATAAAAGAACTCTCTTTATAGATAAGCACAATGTTTCACTGAGCCTAAAACTGTCCACATAACATTAAGTTTATACAATGGACTTTCTTGAGAGCTACACAAAACTCCTAACATTGCACATTACAATTTAGTATATAACTGAGGAATAAGGTGCATAATGCTGATAAGTTGCTAACCTGCCTAGTAATAAAATGAATAATATGTAGTAGTGATGCCAATGAACTAAATTAACCTATTTATATGAGGCAGCTTGGCCTCCTTGCCATTATGCCACCTTTCCTGCATTTTGACTCTGTCTTTTTTTTTTTTTTTAAACAAATGCTTTGTTTATTTGAGTGTAGGGAGAAGGGAGATCACTGGAGAACAAGAAGGAACTTAAATAATTGATATGCATGATAAACATAGAGCATTGAATGCTCTTTAATTATTGCAACAGAAATAAACCTACGCTTGAAAAAATTAATTTTTTGTGTCAGATTTTAGCTTATCAATTAACATTTTTAAATGTGAATTCCTCTTTGACATTTGAACCTCTTATCTGTATTCTTTGCTTCATTGATTTCTACCCACTTTGATATATGTCTGCTGTCAATTTTCTCTTCAAATCGCAAGGTTATTTCTTTGGGGGAAAGAAAGGTGACCAAGGATAAATTATAGACAGAAAGATGTTTTTGATGGAAAATGGAATATGTCACATTTTGTTATTTTCTTGATAAATACATAAGTCTTTTTAATATTTTCCTCCATAGGAAAAAATAAAGAGAAAACACCCTATAAGATTCTACACAATCATTTTCCAAACCATTTTATCCAGATAAAAACACTAAAATACTTTGAAACCACTTTTATTCTCTACATTGTGAGAACTAATTAGAAATGATAAATTAAACATAAAGAAAAATATTTAACACTTTTTTTTTCTACATAAACAAATGCCCAATCTTTGTCCTAAAAAACAAGAAACTAAAACTTTTTCATGCAAAATAGAAGCTGGCATAAGATACTCTATACAGTTAAAAAATTAAATATTGGTTTTGAATTAGATGTTCTGAATAAAATTTAGGCTCACCAATAAAGAGTAGGTGTCTACAGATCTCTAACATCACATCTCCATATAAAGTCTGCTGAGAAGGGTCCAGGCATTTCCATTCCTCTTCTGAAAAATCAATGACCACATCCCTTAATGTCAATGGTTCCTGAAGTAAAAATGAATAAATACACATCACATAAACCATATGATTCATGACATAGTATTTAACTTCAGAAAAATTTTAATGAGAGTTAAAAGAGGTGGTTTTCACATATGGTAGTGATGTCAACCGTTCAATAAGATACTTTTTTTTTTATGGTGCTGTGGATTAAACACAGGGCCTTGTGCATGAAAGGTAAGCACTCTACCAACTGAGCTATAACCCCAGCACCAATAATTTGTTATAAGCAGTAAAATTGGTGGACAAATTTGGTATAATGAAACCCAGAGAACAGCACATGAGGAGCAAAACACTGAAGCAAAAAAGTGAAAAAAAATCCAACATAATTCCAAAGGATAAATAGTAGTTGCAATTAGTTATTGAATATTCAAAAGAAGCACAACCAAACAAAGCAATGATACTTGAAACATACTTAGAAAAATTATAAGTATACTTATACAACAGTGGTCACCTTAGCATGTTGAAGATATAAGAGATCACTAAAGACACACCAAAATTTTCAATTGTCCACATATTTATTTGAATGGTTACCTCCAAAGTTGTCTATCTTCTCATTATTTAAACATACCATAAATCTATATGATATTTAAAAAAAAAATACTTTTACTTCTGCAGACCACAATATCACAACTCACTTCTAAAACAATAGAATAAAATTTTTAACTATCAAACTATTACAAAACACTTAGGTACTTGGGTCAACTTGAACTACATGGAACAAAGTTATAACAAAAAATAAAAATAAAAAAGCAAATTAAGTGAACAGACTGTTAATCTCTCAGTTCATAAGGAAACTGACACATCAGGTTTAACATTCCCAGATTTGTAAAACCACTCTCACGGTGAAACTGTATCCTCACCTGGCTCATTTCAAAGTAGAAAGTGAGAGAATACTAAGCAGTTAAGAAAAAAAAAATTCTGAAAGGTTCTGGCACCCTAAATGCCTCCCTGACCACATGGAAATACACCTTTTTCCAGGTTCTCACTTATCACTAGTGAACCAACACATACATGAAGTTAGTTTAACATTCTGTGTGATGTCTTTCTTCTAAAACAGCATTATTATTTTTTTTAATTACAGATTTATCCCAGGAGCTCTGTACCCCTGAAATGCATTTCAAGAATTTTTTTTTTTAATTGTGATAAATGGGCTTAAAAAGTTGCTTAGGGTCTCTATATTACTGAAATTAGACTCAAATTTACTTTCTTCCTATCTCATTTTTCCACATCACTGTGATTACAGGTGTGTGCCATGACTCCTGACTCTGCAACCACTTTTGAGACCAAATGTGCAAACAACAACCAATATTTCAACAATTAGTAGTCTAATAATTCAATTCTGATAACATCTAGTACATATCCCACAAGGTTGGTGTTATGCCTATAAAATTTTCCTAAATGAAGTGCCAGTTTCAAGTCCCAGAATAGAATAATATTTATATTTATGATTAATTTCCTATAAATTAGGGGTCTCTACATCTACACACACACAAGTTACTTATTCTGATAAAAAAAGAACACACTTATGTATACCAGCTTCTTATTATTTATATAAATAGGGAAGTTGACAATTGAAACCTTGCATAGAATATAAAAAAATGTCCGATGAAAATGGCATACCTTATAGGCCATTTTAGGAAATAATCGGTTGAAGATATTACCTCCAATTTTTCTGCTATGCTACAGAAGAGCTCCCTTCCCAATATGATTTAGAAGATCCTCACTATTTTAAATATGCTGGTTCAGAAACTCAATCAGAATATTCCCATTGTTTGCCATAAAAGAAAAATAAGTGAACACTTTTATATTCAGGGGTAAGAACAAAATATTTGTTTTTAAAAAAAAGGAATCGTAAGTCTCTCCTTTAGGTGAAACCCTTAGAACATTAAGCCATCTCATGTTCAGCCCAAAACAACATACACGCAATTTTCTTAAAACTCCTAAGTATTTGTTGGCTTCAGGGTAAAGGATACTTCATCTGGAATTTTGATTTATTTTTTGGTAAGGGGGCATTCTACAACTAAGATATATTATAGGCCTTTTAATTTTTTTTCTTTTTTCTTTTTTTTTGAGACAGTGTCTCATTAAGTTGCAACACTAAGCTTCAGGTTTGATCTTTCTTTTTCAACCTCCAGGTTGTTGTGATTACTGGCATGGCCTAATATGCCCAGAATTTTATGAATTTTCTAACCTCCTTTGGTCCATTTTCCTTTCACCTTATTTATTTGCTATTTCTTCATTAAAAAAAAAAAAAAAAAAAAAAAAAAAAAAAAAAAAAAAAAAAACCTTGACAGCCTAAGATTTTGGATGCATCCATATTTTTCTAACCTGAAATTCTAGAAATAGCTCCACAGCAAGGAAAATTATAGCCATAGACACAACTAAGATCTTACTTAACCTTCAATGATGTTCTTTTACAGGCTCAAAAAATTACCTTGGTTTGAATACAATTTTATTTGAAATTTAACTCTATCTTTTCTCTTTGGAAACTTTTTTTTAAACCTTTCAAATATTAGTGACAAATTACATTTTATATGTAATAAAAATATTAGAATAAGTGAGAGATGCTCAATCCATATAGAATTTACTTAAATATTTAGTTACCACCCCAAACATGAGGCAGTACATTATGTCTTCCAATTAGCATATAGTGAGTTTTTCCTTGAAGATATCTGCACAAACACAGTAGGATTTTTTTTTTTCCTAAATCCTTGCTACAGTTTATTCTCCTTTCAAATTCTGGCACATTATAAAAAATCTTCCCTAGATGAGTAAGAAAATGGAAGTCAAAACTCATATTTGCCTTTCTTTTCAGTTACAAAATCAATGGATCTGAGCAGCAATGTATTTCTGTGGAGCTGAACCTAACATTTGGGGAAAATAATATTAATATTCCAATATTTGATGTTTACATGAATCCTATAAAAGATATTTCTGTAATCTCTAGAGTATCTAGAGTATTCATCTAGTCCAACAAGATGCTCCATTCCCTGACCACAAGGTACTCTGTAGGAAGAGAGGATTACACCCAGGTTGGTATTCTCTAGGTAATTCAACATGGGAGCTGTGGGCACCTTGGGTTAGCTTCATGTAATTTTTACACCATGGCCACTCAAAGACATGGCAGATACTTAGGAGACATCATACTCTAAAGTTTCTTAAGGGGACCCCAAACTTGCTATCTATGCTTATAAAAGAAAAATAAACAAAAGATTCAAAGATTTTTTTAAAATTTTAATACTAAATATTAAACTCAGCAGTGTCTACACACTGAGTAACATCCCCCTCCCCTTTTTATTTTTTATTCTCAATATATTGATCCTCTTGCTTCAGCCTACTAAAATGCTGAGACTATGAACATGCATCTTCACACACAGCATTAGGTATAAATACTTTTTCATGTTATAACCCTATGTTCCTCTCATGTAAAAGTACAACCATATACATGCATATATGCACTCACTCACTTTTAAAAATTCCATCCAAAACCAAGGAAAAGATGAATTAAAACTATGTGATATTTGAAATGTTTCAGGGAACCATACTTCATAATATAGTGAATTCGCTTAGAAAAGATGACATTTAGGAAAATCATGCTTACCACACATTTGGAAAATGCACTTAAAAAAGTGAGTGCCACCTGGTAAGGAAAGAGAAACTGAAAATTCCTTGGACCACAGCTCCTCCCAAATATGCATTATTTACATGAGTCAAAATTCTCATGTTCTGATCCTGTCTATAACATCCACTCTGAAGGGGTGTAGGCAAGAAAACACAGAGTTACTTTCAGGCCAGGAAGAGGTCACCAATCTGGAGCAGGACAAAATTTAGAATCCTCACTGTCAACCCCATTCTTAGGGCCAGAGGTGGCAGTATATTGAGCTTTATCAAATTTAGAGTAGGGTTAAAAGATTACAAAGGTGACCTCAGGAAAGCCTAGGTTCTCAAAATTAGTTCGGACTACTTTTACTCAACCCCTTTCTTCTGCTTCATAATGTCAAGCCCTGCAGACTTATCATTTTTAAAAATACTCAAGGGCCTGCGGTGGTGGCTCTGGTAGACTACTTGCCTAGCATGCATGAGGCAATGGGTTCGATCCTCGGCACCACATAAAAACAAACTAATTTATCCACCTACAACTAAAGATACATAAATAAATATTAAAAAAATAAAAATACTCTAAACCCTGAGAGTCAGAGGGAAAAGGCCTGTGACAGAGCCACCCAGGCATCACAAAACCTGGAGATGGATCAAGAGATTTGCCTGAGACAGAGATGAATTTTCTCCCAGATTTTGAAGCCTACCCTCTATTCTTTGGTTGTTGCTCTGATTTAATAATTATTACCCCAATCAGTTCTGATTGAATAATTTTTACCTGCATAGAGAAAATACCAACATCAGACTCCTCTGAGTGCCAGGTGAAACAATTTCAACTAAAGCTTTAGGACCCCAAAATAATGAAATATTAATTATATTCCTTCTCAGACAGAGCCTTTTATGTCCTAGAAGACCTGGCCATAGAACAGGACATACATATTTAATGTTGAATATAATGTCACATCAATTATCAGTGACAATAATGCCAATAACAGATTGACAAGTGAAAATAATATAGTGAGAATTACTTTACATATTTCGGTTTCAAAACCTTCGTACTCTGTCTAAATGAGGCTTGCTTGTTTGTTTGGTTGGTTGGTTCCAGGGATACACCCAGTGATGAATCACTGAGGATCATCTCCAGTTGTTTTCTTTCTTTTTTTTTTTTTTTTTTGCCAAAATCTCACTAAGTCTTTGAGGCTGACCCTAAGCTTGTGATTAACTTTCTTTAGTTTTCTGAATCACCAGCATTACAGGTATGCAACAACACACTCAGCTCTTGTTCAGGAATTTTGATGCATCTAGATTTTAGAAAAAGTAGATAATCTTCTATAGCATCATGCATAGTTGAAAAAATAAAATGATAAATATGTATAACTGAGCTTTTA